GACAGGGGATGAAGTTACTTTTCTGACTTTATGCATGCAGCAGTGCAGTAGGAGGTGTGTGTTCTCCCGCGTTACAAACCCCTCTTGTTTGTATCAAATCTATTTGCGAAGACTTTTTTAAACAAACCTTGTGGACTGCAAAATGAGTCCACGTGCATTTAGACACTTTATTAACGCTGAAGCCGTACAAATCCACTCAGGAAATGATTTTTGGTCATTTGTGACCTTCATAAGTAGCGGTGACTCCTACGCGGGAAACGCCCCCCTGCACGGCTGCATGCCCTAGCTATGAACTCCTCTCACACTCCTCCACGGCCGGCAGGCAGCAGTAAATCTAAACGGAGGCAGATGCTGGAGTTCATCTGCTCTCACTACTCTCTCATTAATCTAAAGTACTCTTTTCCTTTGTTCCTGCATATTTTAGGCAAACATGCCCGTGTCAAGGATGAGGATGAGGCCATGGCTGGAGAAGATGATCGAGTCAAACTCCATTGCGGGTCTGAATTGGGTGGACAAGGTGAGAGACTTATTTCTTCCTGCAGCAAATTGATTTGGTTCATGCAAATGACATTTAGTAAAAACGTGTCTCAATGTATTCAAATGAGTACAGAAACAGACATTTTAAAATGTAGGCAATTTGTTCTATGTATCTCCCGGTCAGATAACAGTTTGAGAGGGAAGTGATGTCTGCGAGGCTGCACGTGTCTCACAAAATGTGCATGTTACTCTTGGAGTAGCTTGTTTGAAGCACTAGTTGGAACGGATGTTGATGTTGTTAATAAAAACGAATGCATAGATTTATAATTTAGTTATAAAACAGTCAGGAAAACATTTGGATTTGACAACTATGGCAGCCTTTAACCTTTAACACCCCAAATGTGATCTGTCTTACAAATGGGAGATGGGCCAAACATGTTAAAGAGAAATCTTTTCCTAAAATAGCATACTATGCCCCAGACTAAAAGAAATTATCAAAAGCCTGTTCAATGTGTGTTTTTTTTCTAATGTGCTATGCAAATCAAATTTTTGCATAACTGCTCACAGTAGCCTACAAGTTAGGTGCTCAGTTTGAATGGCAGCCTCTTGCAATTTTTGAAAATTTGTGCTCATATTTGAATTTATTCTATGTTGAATGTGCAAACCCTCGTTCCAACTTAGTATCTCCTTTTGCATTTTTCAGGATAAGACGATGTTCTCAATTCCCTGGAAGCATGCAGCTCGACATGGCTGGGAACTGGACAAGGACGCATGTCTGTTCAAAAAGTGGGCCATCCACACAGGTGAGCGAGCATGAATACACACACAAATTCTGCAAATAATAACACAGAAAATTATAAGTGTGTGAAACTAAACAATATGCATTCTGCAGGGAAATACGTGGAAGGACAAACCTGTGACCCAAAGACATGGAAAGCCAACTTCCGGTGTGCAATGAACTCACTGCCTGACATCGAGGAGGTGAAAGACAAGAGCGTCAACAAAGGCCACCAAGCTATGCGTGTATTCAGGATGTTGCCTACCACCCCAAAATCTAGAGGTGAGAAAACTGACAGGAAGTGGGCAAGCATTTTTTTTTATATGAACTAACATTGGTGTGCAGCATCTTCCAGCTGCTGATCTTTTTTTCTATTTTTTCTATTTTACCCAGTCAGTTTGTTCTGCAGTCACACTATGAGCTGTTTAAGATCTCATGTGATAAAAGTGTCTTTCTTTCACCTCCGCAGATAAACGAAGCAAAGCGAAGGAGACAAAGCCAAGGAAGAAGGTAAATAGATATTTTATGACCATTCTTTTTATAATGACTTTAGTAGTAGCTTGTTGTCTTTGTTGTGCATGCTGTAACACTTGTTACATAGTTAAAGGCCTATTCAAATGATGCCACACACAATGACCCAGATAATGTAATGGCATTATAAATAATGTTATTGTTATGGCATTGGTGCTCTAGCTAAACATGCAACTGCAACTGCATATGATTTTTTTCTCATGAGAATTTCCTGAATCTCACTGAATGTGACTTTCTGTCTGCAGAGCTCAGTGATCAAAATGGAAGAAGACACGGACTACAGTGATACTCAGTCTCCCATGAATGAGTCAATGCCGGAAGACACTTTGTCTACTCAGGAGAACACAGTTGACAGCACAGTGCACACAGAGCAGCAAGGTGAGGAGGAAAATATGTATGGAAGAATGAATTAAAGAAATTAATTAAAATAATAAGTGTCATTCAGTCAAAATGTATTTAACACTATTGTTTGCCATCTTTGCAGATTTTCCCTTTGTGGCTCAATCTGAAGTTCCTGACTGGTCTTCGACAGTTGTGATCGGGCTTGAGAACTTCAACAGCTTCAGCCACAAATTTGAAGTTTCACCTGAACACGATTTTGGTAATTCAACAACACATATTGCATACTTTAATAAACAGTTCAGGACTAACCTCAGTGAAATTAAGTATATTCAAACAGATCTATATCACAGTGCCATACTCATATACTTACCCCTTCCTTTTCTCTCCCTCTATCTTTACTGTGATCTTCCAGATGTCGACTATAGCGACGACATTATCCAGGTAAGCATGGCCTTCGGCTCCTACTCTTACCAGCATGCATTTTTCATTGACAGGAATTCCCATGTTTGTCTTATTCTGCCTGTTTGGCTTGTGTAACAATACCCAAAACAATACTAGTGATTGCTAAAGACTGTTTGGTGTGCAAAAACTCCAATTGTGCAAAATATCATAGCCATACTCAGTCCAGTGTTGCTCTTTCAGATTTGCCAGCAACTGGAGAAAGACTCACACTGGTTGTCAAGCAGTTTAGACGGCAGGGGGTTCCTGAGCAATGAAGCATGCACCAGTCCAGGGAGCCAGTGGAGTGAATCTTCCTCAGGTAAATATTGCTAGTTGAAGGGTCAGATGGACAACTGCCTCTAAATCTATGTGCAATGTAATGTATGTAATGTTTTGCTGTACATCTGTTGCTTGACCATTGCAGTCCATGTTGGCATTTGAAGGAATATATGGGATTATTAACTTCAGGAATTGAAGTGTAAAATCTAGATGTAAATGTGTTTCTACAAGGGTTAACACTTATTAGTCACCACCAGGGATTTGGTATGGACATGTAGTTATAGCTGAAATTAGCATGCAGATCAGTATGAATCTAGTCAAAGTCTAAGAGAGCTGGTGTGAGTTAGAAGCATATTGCCTTTATAGCAGTGTTCATTTCAAAATGTTATACCTTAAAGTTTAGTAAAGTCAAGTAAAGCAACTCTAATAAATAGGTACTCATACTCATACTCATAGTCACTCACCACATAGCACAGCACTGCACTGAAAGCCTGAGGACTCACAGGAGACAAATAAAAAATGGGTAAAAATTGACCCAAAAGGCTGAGATACCCGAACTTTTAGTCCCTTTTAAGGGTCAACCTGCAAAAACACTGTTTTGTTAGACTCTCTGCATAGTTCATAACACAGTCTCAAAACCTGATCTGAGACGGTAATTTTTCTAAGACTTTAGAAAGCTCTATTCAGACACTTTTTGAAATGTTTAGTATTTCAGGTTAGCCCACATCTCCTGGTATATGTTCTTCTTCACCATACTGACCTTATTTTTTCTCCGTTTTGTTTTGTAGTCGACGAACTAGACGAAATGCCACAGTACACAACTTTGGGCTCAGACCTCACAAGTCCCACAGACAACGTCTGGAACAACCTTTGTCAACAGATCTCACCCATGCTCTGAGGACTTCAGGACAGGAAAGGACAGTTTTGTAGAACTATTCCAGTCCGACAACTTTCCCATCTGAGCCCTCTTTCTCTGTGGAATCACACAACATCATTTCTCCAGTCCAAGCTGGATGGGGACCACTCTTTAAGCTAAACCCCCTTCCCCCGCGCCGTGTGTGTACAGTACGGCAAGCTTTCCTCATCTCCCTCAACTTCTCAACAACTCTTCTGTGAAGTCATGAAGACAAGTTATGCAATGAACTGCTGTGTTTATGAAGACCCCACATACTGTTCATTGCCTATGTGTTTGGCTGGTTCAGGGTGCACAGAAATCTGCAGGCCATGTACATGATTATGCTCTGCCAGGAGGTAGCCAATACTTACCTCAAAATACAAATAGGATCATACTCAGTAACATTTGACAGGTTGTTTGTGTATAGTGTCAAATAATTATCACATTAAATCAAATTTTCCGTTATTTGTAAAAATGAGACATTACATTTTGACAAACAACTTCTGGTGAAAGCTCTACTTCCAAATCTTACGTTTTTTTGTTTGCATAAGGCACTTGTAAATGATTTCTGTATATAGTTGTTTTGGTTTGTGTGTTTTTATAAAATAAAAAATCTAAATGTGAATGGATATGACTTTTTATTATTAACACTAAGGGCTTAAGTTTATGTGTTTATGTATCCAGACATGGATGATATTGCTCTGCTGTAACAAAATCAATGACTGTGACCAGATGTATAAGCGTCATTTTGGCAAGGACAATCCCTGCTTCGTGTCAAGGCACTGAACCAAAGTCAGCCACGATATGTAAACTGACCCCTGCTCTAACTAATAAATTTCCCTCCAGTGGCAAATTAAGGGTCCCGTTGGACCAAAATAGCTTTGTTGAAATGACCACAATATTATATACTGTGATTATTTTAATAAATAAAACAATAAGTAATTAATAATGATAATAGTAATTCAGTAATAAAAACAATCTAAAACAAAGTGTTAAAATCACACATCTATTATCTCTTATTTATTTTAACAAAATAGGACCAGGTTAAAGTGGGTGTAAGATTTTGGCTAAATGAAAACCAACCATTGCTACTAATTTAATCAAAATACAGCGTAAACCACCCCCACAAAAGAGTAAGCTCTGACTATGTGAGTGATCAAATTAAACATCTGGCGGATTCTTACTTCATAAAAACTCTCTATCTCCTGCTTACCCTATCCATGGTTATAATGCTTTCAGGAAAGACAGAGGCGAGAGTAGAGGTGGGATAGTTTATTGGTAAAGATCACATATCGTGTAAAGAGATGCAATGCTCTGTTTTAATCTTTTTCTCTAAAAGTCACACACAGTCACAGCAAATGTCTTTTACCTTCATTGGAGTGTGCAGATCATCCTATTTGAGAGAGTATATACAATGGTTAGGGAATGCAGCTCAGTGAAGCAAGTAAATATAATATGAACTGGAAAGACAAGTCAGGTAAAATGAATGGCCACAAATGAAGACTTCTGAAAGAAAGAGACCCTGCCCTGCAAACATTTCTTAAGACAGTTATTGACCGACAGACACATTTTCACTTCTCTAAGAAATAAGTAACCAAGGACATCCTCATAGGCAAAGCAAAGTTCTTTGTTAGTCTGATAGATGAAGCTTAGGGAAATCACAAGCAAATTTGGGATTTAAAAGTCTGAGTAGGTGTTTCTGGCACAACTTCAGCTACTTCCAAAGTGCATGGAGAAGGGAAGAAAAAGGCTAAAGATGTAAAGAGGTTTTTATGACAATTTTGAGCACATTTTGGGTAAAGGCCTCTTTTGTACAAAGTTTGTACAACGCCTTAGTTGCACTTCTCCAGTTTATGGACCAAATATGGTGTCACCCATATTTGGTCCTTTAAATGTTTGACAATTTCAAAACTCTAACAGGAAAACGCAACAATACAACAAAGCACCATGATGTTAAAGACAATGGCTGCCTGATTAAAGTAGCTGTACAAACCACAACTCTCCTCAACTCCCACTCTGTGAACTCTGTTGAGAGAGCAGTACACATCAATTAAACTGGACATCTAGATCCACCACCCCTAGATACTGTATCTTTCAGCCTGTCTGATGGAGGTCGCTGAATCTTAAGTAAATATAATTCCAAACTCTCTTAAAAACTCTAAATCAAAACTGGATTGGACTCTCCTTAAACAAGGTATACAGATTAATTTATAAAGATAATAAATGCCTCAATTAAAGAAGGGAAGATCCTGAAGGACTGGAAGTCAGCCATAGTTGTGCCAGTTCGTTCAAGTGATTTGACTGATGTCAGTTTCATCTTACAAAATAACAGAGAAATATGTTGCTGAACATCTGACCACTCATCTCAGTAGTACAAACCCTTACACACTGCATCCAATGCAATTTGTTTTTCAAGCCAACAATTCCTCTGAGACAGCAAATTGCTTCTCTTTAAACTAAAAATGGAAAATGGAGATTTTGCTGGGTTCATAAATTTAGATTTAAAGAAGCTGCTTGATACTGTCAGACATCTCTAAACTAGCCACTTCTAATTTATTCTCTAACATGCTGGATTGGATTGGATCCCATCTTGCAGGGAGGGTTCAATGTGTGTAAAAGTGTGCAAAAAAACACTCTGCATCTGACTGTGAGCCTGAAGGTCTATGTGTCTGGACAGGTCATCCAAATTGTCTCTAACCTCAAATCTCAATATTATCCTCGACCTCACCTTATACTACAATAAACAAGTGAAGAAAGTAATAAAAATAAACAAAATACAACCTGGCTAATGTTAGGGTTATAAGATATGGCCTAACAACTACAAACTACTTACTATAAATGAATACAGTGATCATCCTCCACTTAACATACTGTATGACAAGCTGGACTCAAGAGAAAGGTACAATACTTTTTCTATGTGTCTCTGTGTACTGCTGGTATGGCTACATTTACCGAATAGTGGATATTGTTATTGTATTATTGTACTAATGTTTATCGTTTTCCTTTTGCTCTGCATGGCTTCTTGTTGTCTCCGGTCTGTAAATTTTAACCATCACTTCATTGGTTTCAAAACATCTCGCCAGGTCAAGTCCGTTAAATTTTAATTACAGTGGCCAACATAACATATTACAATTAGTCTCAAGGAGGTTTCATGTCTTCCATGACATGACATCATGTCATGTGTACAGAATAGATTCACAACAAAAATCACAACATATACACTTGATGATGACGACAAAATGTAGAAGTGAAGAGGATGGTCAATAATGAGAAGCTTCAGGTGTATCCCACTAGGATCTGAGCTGCACCATATCCTCTCCACCAGAAAGTACTGGAAATACAACAGGCCTCACAAACACAGGAGGACAGCACAATTCACGTACCGAGGAGAAATAAACAAACACACAGACGGAGAGAGAACCATGATAACATGCAAACTAGGAAGAGGTGGAGAGATGGGTGGGACATGGTCAAATGTGAAAAAGGTCTGCACATGGCTAACACTAGCACATTTACAAAAATGACGATTAATGTGCGTAGTCCTCATAAATAAATAAATAAATAAATAAAGGAAAGGAAATGACAGGTGTTGGCCTCATACTGCAAAAACAATGTTATAGAGTAACGTGGTATTTTATTGTTAGAAAGTAGTTGCATCAATAACTTTTCCACCCCTATTTGGGGTTCCCTACAAGACCGACAAATAGTGAGGAAATAGTGTCATTGTGCAACATTTGCTGGCAATGCATTTTGACATTACTCACTATCAGGATTAGTTACAATTAAAAACATTCACAAAGGCATAGGGTGTGAGAAATAAAGCCCGGATTTTAATTAATCTAATAAAGATGTCTGCATATTTTTGGACAACTGCCATTTTCCTTCACAATAAGCGACTGCCTTGGCAGAACACACTGAACAGCGATGACATTCTTTTCAGTCACCGCAAATCTTTTCAGGTTTGTCCAGGTGTTTGCTGACGACTGTAGGCTGTATAAATAGACTTGTTAATCCATTTAAAAGATGCAAATGCGATAATAAGCAGGTGATGATAGTTGAAAATGCTTTCCAAACAAAGAAACACTTTCAAAACCTGTTGTAGATAGGCTTCACAGTATATCATGGCTCATAACATGGGACAAGTGAAGTCTTAAGAGGGAAAGCCACATATTTCCTTTTGAATTGTCAGTTTAAAGGTAGACACCGTTTCAGTTTTTATGTAAGCATTTTGAATTACAAAGGACTCGGAAACTTGAACATCTCATCCCATTCAATAAATATTAACTTTTAACTTTTTAGAGAAAAAAGGCAAGCATTGGAAAGATGCACTTGCTTTTGATAAGGATGAGCTGAAACAGCTTATGTTAAAGACAGCTGATAATAGTTCTGCTAATGTTGCGGTGGTGGTGTTCTAGGTATGAAATGGCATTGTTAATTTTCCTTAGACAAGTACCCACTAGATAAGAACGTTTACTTAAGCACTGTATTAATGCAATATTACCCCAATAAGACAGTAAATAACAGACCTTGCAAAGCACCCCCTGCACATCTGTAAGTTTAGTATTACATCCATTAAAGGGTCCCTAAAGAGTTTTTCACTTCCTGAATTGTGGAGCAGTTCTTAGAGGAACCGTTTGTCTTCACACACACACACACACACACACACACACACACACACACACACTTTACAGCCATGCCAATGGTTTCACATACTGATTAATAATTGGTGGTAATGTGGCAATAAATTAAGCAATGCACCAGTAAAAGCAGTGAAGAAGAAAACTGCTATCAAGTAAAAACTGATGCATTATGGTGCAACACTCAATGGTGCGCAACATATACAGTAGGTATATAATATGTTTGTTTACAGTGAAACTTTACAGTGATCCTTAAAATTTAAATTATTTTTTTGGAAAATTTTATTTCCCAAAATGAAATACTCTTGTAATTTGTTTTTTAAGCCAACCGTTCCACTGAGATAGCAAATAGCTTCTTATTGGGGAACATCAAACTAGAAATGGACAAAGGAGGTCACTTAAAACCCCAAATCAAAAGTGCTTTCATTTTTGCTGATATTACTTATGTTTTTATTTAACATTTACAAAATTTCCATTAGAAATGTAGTATTTTTACACTGTAGTATTACAACATTTTACTTTCTCCATCCCTGCACACAACATTAAACTCTAGTCATATATCCATTATTTATTTTAAAATATATCTTTAAAAGATTATGCTGTAGGGAATTGTTCCTTTAAGACAGATTCGTACAGAAAAGCCTGTTTTGAATGTCAAACAATAAGGGATTAACCGGACGGATTTTAAAACAACAATTGTCTTGACCATTTAAAAGGCATGTTGTATGCATAAACCTCCTTTTTGCTTTTTATTAACACAGGGATTTGAAGTGTCCTTTAATGTGAACCAGTGAAGCTGATAGCCTGTATAGTTTCTCATCACTCTGTTGTGGTTGAACACCTGAATAAATGACCTGGGGCGGTTCCTGCCATTAACGTCCTGCTATAAAGTATAAATTGTCAAACCAGTTTGATAAATTGATGCATAGACACGAACATCCACACATGAAATTGCAAAACATGTTGTTGTTGAAGGTAAACGTGGCTTCTTACTCTAAAACAAATTAATCAAAAGAGATAATCTAACTTAATCCCTCACAGATATGGGAGGTTCAAAAAACAACTAACACAAAAAATCAGCTATACTACTTCATTTTATAGTTGTATTATAACATATGTATAATAACAGCACACAATATATTTTTATTAAAGGAAAGATCCTTTGTGATTTAGTGTGTCTGTAGGATCAAACTGTAACTTGTAACATAAACCAATATTTTATTCTTATAAATACATTGCAGATATTCATGGTAGTTTAATTTCTTGTATGATGTACTTGTACTTACTCCTTAACATATTTTGACCAAGTAGCTAACTACCTAGCTCAATATGAAATTAATAATTAACTTACCTAAATGAGGTCAGGTTGATGCCATGCTATTTTAGGTTAAACAAGTTCATGTTTTCTCCTGTCACTATCAAGTCCTATAAAATATTTGGTTTAGAATGGCCATGTGAAAATGTATTTCAAAATATTTTTTTAAATTTAATTTGTATTAACTAAAACTGTAAATATTAAAAATATATCACAAAGACACACATGTATAGAGAGTTTATGAGCTTATGTAATAGGTTAGTCAACTCTAGACTGGACAAACTAGAAAAACCATTAAAACCTCGATGTAAAACTGTGTAAATGCTGACCCCAGACCTCTTTTTACTCTTCATCTATATATTTTTTGCTGAATTTATCTTTGCACAGTTCCCACCGTCTGTCTTCATCTTAGGTTCAGACATAGTTCCTGACAGACGGCTATCACCCTTTCTTCCTCCTTCCTCCGTCTGCTGCAGATGTGGGCACCAGGACTTCTTTTGAGACTGTTATCTGAAACTGTTATCAGAAAAGAGAACAGTATGAATAAACACATTTCTGCCTTATGATATATAAAATATTCAAACGTGTGTTAGTCACCTAAGCCCTAAGGATGGTGCATTTAAATATTTTCTGTTCAATTGCACCCCATTGTAGTACTTGTACATTATACTATAATATATTATTTGGTAGCAACTAAAAGCAGCTAAACAGAAGAAGCACTCTTCTCAAGTTATTTTGCAAAAAAGGAAAGACATAAAACTCTTAAGGAAGTTAAAAAAAAAAAAATCACTGGGAATTTGGACCTGTTATCATCTAAAATAACCAAAACAAGGGCTTAGGAAGTTGAAGTACAACAAATCTGAGAGTAACTTTTGTAATGGTTGCATTAAGTTGCTTGATAGATAAAGAAAAACTACGACCACAAAAAGAAAAAAATGGCACCCACTTTATGCCAACATACTGTAAACTCTATTATCTCAAAACAAGCACTCAGAGGTCAAAGACGGAATAATGGAACTGTAAAGAAAAGAAAGAAAAGTACTTAAAACATGACACCAGACGTTTGTGAGGTATACCTGTGAAATGTAATATTTTAATTCACAATTCTGACAAAAAAGTCTCGCAAATTATGCAGGATGTAATATCAAGTCTCTTTAATTATGAATGAATGAATGAATGTTTAAATGAAACATTCATGCCAATAAAGCACACTGAACTAAACTGAAATACTTAGAAAGTAATTCTCCTCTATAACAGTTGGGGTAACTTTCCAAAATAACTGCAATGAGGAAAGAGCAAACATATTTGTTTTTATTAAACTTCAATCAGCTCACACTGGTCCGTTTCAGTGGATTTACCATAAAGGCTTGAATACGTGTGCACTACAAATTTAGGTGCGGCTAGCTTCACGCCTTCTCATAAATGAGTGAAGTAAAAACTCAAAGCGGTTCAGACCGTTTGTTGCCTTTTCTATGAAGTCACCACAGATGGATAGATGGACAGTGGATTAGGCCGTATTTGGCTTTTTTGTTATTTCTGGACAATTAATTTCGGCATCCCATCATTACTGTAAGGAACAACACCGTAGTCAATTTAAAGAACATAAACTAGTGGGCTAAATAACGTTTAACCAGTGATGTCCTTTGTAAGTAGCAAGTTGTTGTTCTCCATAAATGACTGACAATTGCTTCATTATTCCAAGATTTGTAGGCTGACCTCTTTTCTTACAGCAAAACACATTGCAGTATCTTTGCACTGGTGGGTACACCTGTTATAATGTTGGGAAATTAACTCATATACTTATATAGGTTCTTCAATAACACCTCCATTTGAGTGTCAAGAGATTTTCCCAAAGCCAATTTCTTTATCATACTGTACCCCTGCCATTTGATAGCATATCTAAACTCATACTTTATTGGTTCCTCAGTACTGTACCCTGTAGATACCCAATATTTACAAAAATAGTATAATATATTTATACTTTTTTTCCTGTACCTACATTTACCAGTAAGAACTGGTAAATATTTTATTAGTACCCGATTAATCTTTGAACTAATCCACTGATTAGTTGATTTGATTAGGTCAATAGGATAGCCTGCGTATCTCACAACTCGATCGAAGTGCAGACAAAAAGTGATGATGCAACAGGTGTGCTATATGATTTGTACAATTATATATCAAAGTTCACAGCAACACAGCACAGCAACAAGGTTGTGGGGTTGAACCCTGTTCGTTCCAGGCCTTTCTGTGTGGAGTATGCATGTTCTCCCATGTCTGCCTGGGTTCTCTCCGGGTGCTCCGCCGTCCTCCCACCATCATTCAGGCTAGGCTAATTGGTGACTCTAAATTGTCCTTAGGTGTGAGTCTGAGTGTGACTGGTTGTTTGTATATGTGTGGCCCTGCGATGGACTGGCAACATGTCCAGGGTGTACCCCGCCTTTCGCCCGATGTCAGTTGGGATTGGCTCCAGCACCCCCGTGACCCTGTACTTAGAATAAGCAGTTGACGATGGATGGATGGATGGTTGGTTATGACAGAACTCAGAACAAAAGTTCAAATATTTTTTTAGTATGGATTAATCTCTAGTTAATTAATCTCTATTTCTTATAATTCTCATCAAGTAGCAAGTAGTTTACAAAACATTTTCTTTTTTAAATAATTTGTTTCATAAAAACTTCTATATATATATATATATATATATATAGTTGGTAACTAAATTAATATTTTTTTGGCAACATCAAGAACAAAATAAAAACATGTCGAATACATGGTTGTTACAGAGGCAACATATATCTGAAAAACTGAGCAGTTAAACTTGACTAAACCCATGATTTCTCATGCTAAAACATCCGGTGAAGCTTCTGTATTGTAAACCTAGCAAGTGAAGTGATGGTCACGGTACAAACAAGACGGAAAAACACAGTTTAACTGTAGGCCTACTCGCTACTCCAAATATTTTCCCTGCTGTTTCAACCAACAAAGGCTCATTGTATGTCAAGCACGATGCTTAATGCCTTTTAAAAAGATGTTGTTTGTTCAGTTTAATTTTACAGTTACCTGAAGTACAGGACTTTAAACATTCATCTTAAGCAATTGTTTTAAAAAGAAGTACGAAAATGTATGGATTAAAACAATAGGTTTTTGGTGGCTGACCCATTTTACACTCCTTCACTGATGCACATAACACACATATTCAAACAAAGCAACTGAATCTGAAGAGTGTCCTGAATTCAAGTTTAATTGTGTGTGTGGTGTGCTTTAGGTCTATTGTTACGTTATGCGATTAGGTGCTAGCTGTGTGTGCTACAGTTGCCTTGAAATTGCGTAAATCATTTAATATAACAATCTTGAAGATTTAAATTTACATAAATGTCTGTTAAGTCACTATCTACTGCGAAATGGATGGAAATATTTATAAATTTGCAGTATTATGAACTGAGTGTTGGTGGTAACGTTCCTGAAAAAAAAAATGCTGTTTTAAGTAACTGCTAATTTGAACCGAACATTTCCTAATGCTGCAGCATCACATTTAAAGCATTTAACTGGTGAAACACATGTTGACGTTTATTATGAAGTAGTCACAAGAAATGCAATGTTTTTGTCAGTGAGATCAGCACTGACAGCTATAAAACAAGACAACTGTCATTTTCTGCATTTTTTGACAGCGGATGCGTTTGAAATATTGCAGGGAGTAATTGAACAAGATGGAGCAGTCACAGTGAGATGTTTGATGAAAAGCTGCAGGCGTAATGTTGGCCTAGCGGCTAGTGGGGCACGCCCTCAAAAACACTGGTGGAGAAACCCACAATGTGCAGTTTTCTTGACACATCCATCCACCCCACCACCCTCCTTACATGGACTTTGTCGCTTTATACTACGTCACCTGACTTCTTCTGCAACTAGAGATCGCAGCCTAACAAAAAAGAACAGGCTGTGTGTGCAGCACTAAATAAGATCACAACCATCACAGCCAATTACTGCCTGACTTGACAAAAAAAATAAAAATGACAATAGTTTATTTTGCTGCCCCCAGAAATCTGTGACCTGTAAAGTATCAAACTGCACCTGCTGTTAGGCCTACCACCAGGTTTTCACCAGATCAACCAGAACTGAAATCTTACCCCTCTGGAACTGGAAAAAGTCAATCATCCAGTAGGAATGCTTGTTCATTCACATTTGGTTAGGTCATGATGCCATTCTGATTTTGTCAACTGTATTGACTGATTTCTTTGACTGGCAGTGTGGGCTGGGGTGTTTTTTCTTAAATATTTTTATTTATTCCTTTACTGTAGAGAAAGGGTATAAATCTGCTGCAGCAGCACAATCGATCATGCACACAAAGGTCAAAGAGGAAGTGGAATATGCCTCCTAGGAAGGTCTTAAATGCGAAGTAGCGCTTAATGTTGTAATAATGTTTCTCAAGAAAATGTAACTTTGCCAACTTCCCTATAATGTCTATGGCTCTCATTCCCAAATCTGTTTATTCCTGCTGAAGATCACAAAATGTGTCACAAAAAATATACCATCATTTAAAAAAAGGCAAAATAATTTCCTAAAACACAAACTGGGGATTTTTAGCAAACCTTGGTCAGTACATTTCATAGAGACCATTTTCAACCATGAATTAACACACATTTAATGCACTAGCAGAAGGGAGTTACAAAGCTCAGTTTTATTATATAACCTGTTATATTGTGACAATAAAATTACCTGCCTACCTACATAAATGGAATGTAGGGCAGCCTTATCCTTTATCTATTCCTATCTATTATAAGATGAAAATAATATGGGGTTTACCATGACAGGAGTTCTAAAGTGCCCTGATAGTCGCTTCAGAAAAAAAGGTTTTGCACTCACATGCATAGATGAGATGGCAGCCAAACTTCTAAAAACACACGAGTACTATAAGGCAGGGGGGAGGGGCTGTGTGTGTGTGTGTGTGTGTGTGTGTGTGTGCGCGCATAAGATGCAGTGGGGAACCATAGAGAGATAACTCTGGTGCTTTCCATCTGGCAAGTGTAAACATTTCACTTGACATGTGCTCAATGACACTACACACTGAGTCACTTTACAATGAAGATCAGCAATAGATGTTTTTTATAGTTGTGAAACAACAGAAATGTACATGCAAGGTTACTTCCCCTGAATACACACACACACACACACACACACCACAGTAACCATCGGGGTAAAATCAAACTGGCTTGGTATTTCCCTAGGTTTTTCACTCTCGTGACACTGACTGATATCATTCAATGCAATGCTTTAATTGTACAGCATACTGCAATTAGAAATCTGGTGTCAAAATCCCTCTTTATCCAACATGACAAATGTGCTATATAACATTATGTTATATTATGCAAAGATTTACATTAAAGCAATATTTTGTAGTATGTTGTGCCACATTGACTTGTAATAGGGTGAATACTCCACTTCATTCCATTCACTTTGTCATTGCCACTCCTGGCCTCATGCTGCAATGCTGCTATGTAACTTTAGAGTCCTGGGCAGGAAAC